TTCAACGACTATGGAAATAAAAATAAAATCTTGTTTTAGATAGTTACGGGTAAATTTTAATGATGTATAATATTATCTTACTAGTTGTGATAGTGTTTATTAAATTAAATTACTTAAGTGCATAAGGAATGCTTTGCTTCAAGCAGGAATGTGAATTGTTTGCAGGCATTAAAAGAAGACTGGTAAAACCCATAACTTTATTATTAAATACATATATTATTTAATCAAATCTAATTAAAGTACACTTGTTTGTGTTTTCTGAAAAATATTAACAGGAATGCTTAGCACATTGTAAGTATTATTTCAGTTTAATGATATGGGATTTAAATGTAAATAGTTAAGTAATAGTGAAATGAAAATATTAAAATGAAACCTCATATACGACTTGAGAGATTGAAATTGAAAGTTAAAACGATATATTTATTAAAGAGCTATACAATATACATACTTACGTTACAAATGGAAAGAGAAATGGCGACTCTCAAATGAAACTTGGAGCTCGGGAATTGATTCTAAAACTTTTATTTATGAGACTCGTATCTCTTGACTTCCAAATTGAAAATGCCCTTCGATTGCTACCTTTTATGCTTTTTTCTGTTGGTTTTATACAGCTGACGGTTTCATTAAACACATATTGTTTGAGGACTAAAGAAATACCGACAGGCGACACGTCACTTGATTATTATTCGGGTTATGAAAATAGAGGATTCCTTCGACAATAATGAGCAAACATTACGGCTGTAAGCCTGTTTGTTTTGTTTTAAACAAAGGCCTGTGTAAGAGGAAAAAGCAATTAGAATACTTTGAGGGCATTTTTTGATAAAAGTAGAAAATAAAAGAGAATACAAAGCAGAGCTCTGACTGCCCGGACGGGTTTGGACAAATAATTTTAATTTAAAGTTCCTTATTATACATATATTGAAACGTGTTATATATGGAGTTCGGTCATAAGTGTAAGTTTAATATATAACAGATTTATCCAGTTCAGTTAGCGCGATCTTAAACTTAGTTACAGTCGTGTCCCCGAGGGAAACCACTTGACGCCGGCCCGGATACCGTCGGCCCTACTGGATATTTGATAGTCCTCAATATGCCAAAATTATTGAGAAGTTTATAACTTTCTGGCAGAGACAATTAAATCGGAGAGTTATTGGCTGAATACTAATTTAGTTTGTGGTAAATTCACCTTCACATTGGATTATACTCAGACACTTAGTCCCCGTTACATCTCCATGTAGATAAATTAAATCTGTTATTGATAAGTAACTTTCCAATTAAATATTTTTTAGGTTTTTATTCAGTTAAACTACTCAATCTTGAACACGTTATTTCTGTTTCTTTTTTAATTTACTTTTTAATCAGCATCGTGTAATAGACTGTAAGACAAGACAAGATCGTCACAAGACGGGATTAACGCTAAGAAAAAGAAGAAGAAGTGTAATAGACTGTAAGAATGTTTAGCCAAATTCACAATATCAAGTTGTATTACAAAAATATAATTAAATTTAAAGTTATTTTAAAAGTCTTTTATAACAATGGCGTTTTAATAAATTGTCAGGAACATATTATGCTTATATTTGAGTAGGTGTAGTTGAAATTACGAAATGTTATTTAATATATTTTTATGTGTTAATGACCGGTTGCGAACGAAAATGTAAAGGTTCTTTTGTGAATTAACTAGAAAATTGAGTTTCATCGAATAAGTAATAATAATACATAATGATTTTCAAAACTCATAAATTTAATGCCACCTACCAGTCATCTGAGGTAAGTTAGAATGAATCCATTAGTGTAATAAATTCTATACGTTTGAGAAGAAACTACGAAATATTAGTAGTATCACATATAATATAATTCATTAATGATGTTTAAGACAAATAAATACTTGCAAATATACATTTATATTTAGCAGTTCCTCTGGTTTCGCTTGCTTGATTCTAAGAAATGTACTTATTATGAAAATATCAAACCTAATAGTTTGATATTGAAAATAATTATGTCTATCTGAATGAATTAATTAGAAAAGATAGTTAGAAGATACACTTTTTTTGTACTTTTAAATATATTCTCTGTTCTAATATTTGCTTAATTTTTTTAAATTCTATTCAAATTTTAAATTACTTCAGTGACTGTGCCGAAAAACTCATTAGGTTAGTTTTCAAATAGTTCGAAAATAGGTATTTTATGTAATAAATAATAGTTGGTTTCATCGCACCCACTTCGTGTCTTTACGTTCCCACCATTGTTTGAAAACAAAATTTATATTAAAATACTAATAAATTTAGTTTCAAATTATTTTTGAATACAAAATTCTAGTGTTTGACTTTTGAAACGTTATAAGTTAATATTTATAGAACTTTAAAAGTGTCATCTTCTTAAGACAAGTCCCGGGAGTATAACAACGTTGTTTCTCGCATGCATTGAACGAGCACTAACTTTTACTAACCGAACTTCTGAACCTGATGTCACACTACATGTTTTATTGTTCCGACTCCATTCACGTCACGCTCCTACCTAGAGTTGGAAGAACTTCTCAATAAAGTTATTGCTCGTGAAAATTGCTCAAATTAGTTTTCAAACATGAAACGGTTTAAATAGTTTTTAATTAGGAAACCGTTAAACCACGAGATAAGAAGGATTTTGTTTTCAATTGAAAGGCTGACCCATCCTCGATCAAAGGGTTAATACTCTTCCTCGGGGAATTCAGTGAAGAATTAATTTGTAACTTTTATTTAGAATTCCGAAACAGGAAAGAAACTTTGCAGATTGATCGTACTTTATAAATAATGTTAACGTTTTAGAGAAAATGAACGTGTTAAAGGAACCTGAGTTAATGAATAAAGTTGTTAAATAATATAAGTGATATGTTTATGATATACAGTTTAGTGAAATACATGTGAAATAAACTTACTTTTTTCAGTACCTTTGATGATATATTTGAGAGTAATGTAAGGAGTATTCCAGTTAACTAAAATTAACAAACAAGTTAAAATTATTTGAATATAATTTTTGAAATAAACCTTATACGGACTAATCAAAGTCAATTCAAACAGACTCGAATATTGAATCAACACAGAATATTCGAAGTCTTACGAGTTAAAAAAGGTATGAAATGACTTTGTATGATAAAAAATCTGTGACGTATTTGTGAAAAAAAAATCTTCTAGTCATTCCTTACCGGTTTTTACATTGAAATAACTTTTATATTGGACCAATTGAAATAAAAGTCGGTTGAACACGAGAAAGACAGTGAATTTAATGAAAAATAACGAATTCATGAATGAAAATAAATCTGTGTATATAATTTGCTGAGATATTTATTACTATCAGTTTGACGTAATATAAAATAATATAACGTCATAAAGTAATACTTAATAACAAAAGGAAAAAATCTAGTCACCAGTAATTTTTACAATCTAAAAGTAATAGCAATAGTGACACAACTTAACATGTAATCTCCTGTAAAGGCTAGGATTCAAAAGCTATTTCCCTAAATCCTGAGACCATTAAGAAGCTAAACAAACAACTCCTGGGCAAGGAGCGTGAAAATGACTGATCACAAATCCGTCAACAGGAAAGTGGGACGCACGAAATCAATTCGAATTTCCTCGTTTTACCCACTTTCCGGGATAAAGTTTTTTATTTACCCCCGAGACCGAGGGAGAATAGAACTCCCAAGAACTTTAATCGTGTGTTGTAACTGTAATTGTATGTATACATGTACACGGTACGACCAGTATGATGCTATGACATTTATAAGGTGACAAATAATTACATTGTATATATTTTATATACAAAATATGATGTATAAAACTTACATTGACATAAAATATGGTTCTCTCTTATTAAAGTTCCGCAAATATAATGGTGAAGGATAACTTATAAGTCAAATATAAAATTATACGACATATAATAATACATACGTAGCACATTGACAAAATCTTTTATTTACGAATTAGTTTGAATAAAAATACGACCAGCAAAATACCACAGTGATCATTTAAAATTGATATTCAAATTGCTTAAAAACAAACTCACATATATCCATCATGTCCATTAAAGGAGAGGTGCCAGAAAAAGTAACATGTCCATACCGGAGATAGCAGGACAAGCTTCTAGTCATAAGTTAAATACATATCGGTGGACTGGCTGCTTTAATGATAGCTATAAAATCAAATAAAATATATTCAGTATTATTTCATAATCCAGAGCTGCACTTAACCTAATTTCCTTCGTCCCCTAATGTCACATTGTATTCCCTATTGTGAGCGTTAGTATCATTAACCTTTTATAAACGAGAAATAATACCAGCCATTAAAACAAATATAATAATAATAAAAGTACAGCGTTCATCAGTTTTGTAATTATATCATACGACTGTTCTATATACATGTATGTTGGGTGTTAGAACCTTAGTTGATAGATTGAATAGTTGAAAGAAGTTCAGAGATATTATGAAGGAAAAACTATTAGTTCAATGAATTTGAAAACATGAATACAATCAGATATAAGACTTTCACGAATTTTAAACTAATATTTTTCAGATATACTACACGACTTTATTTTTGTACATAATCCCAAAGTTTCGGCTACTTTTCTTATTGCTGAAATACTAATATTTACATACGAGAACATTTACACTAAAAAAACTTCAATATTTTGTAAGTATTTACCAGCTGATGAAATAATATATTTTAAGAGATCTAAAACGTGGAAATAATCACAAAAACGTTCCTCAAAGACGAACAATGCCAGTGTTTTATTATCTATGCAAACTCAGATTGGACTTATTCAGCCATTTTAAGAAATTAGCTGAGAATATTTTCTTGTGGAATTGTTCAAGTGCTCCGGTTTCATTGTCGCTATAATAATGGGTTTTGTTTCCATTTCTAACTTATTACCTTTTTTGTTAAATAAAAATATATTTTATGTTTTTTTTATAATTAGCTTCTTTTTCTATTTTCAGAGTAGTGTTTTATTTTTATTATATATTTGTTCAGAGACACAAGTTCTGATGTAAGTGGATGGATCTTATAGTATAAACATTGTCTAATTCAAATATCGACATTTCGATAATAAGATCAATATATGTATATGACGTCACAATCACATCTTACGATGACGTCACTCAACACCAGCTCGCCGCTAATGAAAGTAATTTCCTTAAAGCGTTTATTTCGTCTCACTATGACGATCCTCTGTACTAATATTATAATTCACAAATTTATTTTATAACTATTTAAATATGTAAATATTGATTACTATTAATATCGATTCACCTGTATAAAGTATGTAGTACATTCAATTCCTTGATTATAATTCAACAGCTCAAAAGTCATCTACTAGTAAGTTCGTTTGTTTAACAGACAGTTAGTTCCCTATCAATGTAAATGATGTGTAAACGTCCGTCCATCCTTATGTTTGTTAAGTACATATCTTCAGCCGTCTGTTTGTGTCTAAGTCGAGTCTAAAACTTAGGGAATCTCATTAAAGCTGTGCTCGCCGCTTATCTTCTTGATAGACGTCAGACCGCGACCTACTCAATGAACAGAAACTCGCCAAGAATTTCATACTGGAGACACACGAGCTTACACCGACTAAACGTTTGATAGAGGATCTAAATATAATTCTTATAACATTTTATTAAAAATTTATAGAATTATTCTAAAGATTTTTAATCATATAGTGAGTAATATGCAAAAATATTCAATGAGTTCTTAATAGTTAATCGTTTTTTTCCGGTCATATGAGTCATCTCTCCGGGGGATGCTGCGTCTATTGACTATTAAAACTCAGTTACAATATGTATCATTAATAAAACTATATCTGCAGTGATATCACCATTACAATACAAACCATTCGTTTCTTCAATGGTTCGTAAAAATCCACAGCCATTCATAGCACGCCGCTATAACTCAATTTCTATGATCTTTTAGCTTTCCCCTCCGACGTTCAAGAGATAAAATACTCTCTATGATACATTGCCAGTTGAATTTAAATATTTTGTTATATTAAATTTGAATAAAACACCTTAAAATTCAGAAAAAGTTTATATTTTCCTATTAGCGATTATAATTTAAATCGTTTACATAATATGAAAGTTTTATTCAAAGAGTTTTCCTATTTCATTATCAGATTTATAACAAGTTGTAGCTGAAGAAATAATAGTTAATTTTTATTTCTTTATCACCTTTTTATGGTTTATCAACAGACTATCAAAATCATTAAATCTTTAACATAAACTGTTAAATTTACCTTTAATGTGTAATTTAATATGTTATCTTATCTTTATTTTATAATTTTTTATCTTTATTAAATTTCAAGGCTATATTAATTCCTGTCTAAGTGTTATCACACAAGCCGGCGACGCTCGGTCGAGACGCAGTAAACACAGCGGGTATCTACACTACTACATATATATACATTTTAGGTATTCTGGAGCTTGTATATTTTAAACTGTCTATACGTGATAGATAAAACACATTAAAACCCTGAACATACGAGAGAGATAATAATGGTAGATTTATTTAAAGTTTAGATAAGATATATAAGACTTTCGCGATTATTCATTTAAATGTCACTTATTTTTTTCGGATTATACTATGCGTATTTTATTATTGTAAAAACTACACAGTACATAGTCCCGACGTTTCAGTTACTTTTCAGCAACCGTGATCACGGGCAGACGAGATGTGCCCGTAGGATGTAGTTTTTTTTATTAAAAAATGTTCCTTCACTTTAGAATTTAATTTTGATGCACCGAAACGCTTGAGTTATAATCAAGTCGCTAGCTATATATAATATACGTCAGTGGAGCCGACCTTTACATGTTGAAGATGTCCTTCAAATCTCCTAACAACATTACCGTCTCGATAGTCAAGGACGAAGCGAAAGGCCAATTTATTAACGAAATATATCCCAACGTTTTGGCTTTATACCAAACTTCATGAGACGAGGATTTACATTAAGAATTTCATTTATGAAATCTACATAATAGAATTGCTATATAGCTGAGTGATCTTGTTATTTCAGTGAATATTGGAGCTAGATTAATTAAAAAAAATACAAGTTTTTAAAATAGTACTCATGAGTTTATTATTAAATTTTGACTAAGACCAACAAAAAGAATCCATTCCAACTAATTAACAATTATAACTTAAATATATTTTACGATATTTACTTTCTGATAAAACGAGTTATTGTCATTTTAATGATGAGACACAAGGAAGTGTCTTCATATAGATTATAGCCGTCGTACATTCTAAGGACGCCTTCAAGTCTAGACTATAATAATTTATCACAAGTCGAATCTATTTATTCCTGAAGAATAAACAGGACTATTCTATTAGAATTCTTTATTTTGCTCCAGTGGTTAGAGTTGAGATGCCCTTACAGCCAAGTATAATGGAGACTCGACTGTAACCGCCGCTACGTATTCAGGTACCGTACCTTCCAGTTTTTGATATTATTTGTATTATATATTACTATGGTTTTATTTTTCTATATCTGTTATATATTTTTTCAAATACTAATAGATATATATTCTCACATCCACACACACACACACACACACACTTACACATTCGCTCACACACAACGAACAGTCTTGCTAATTAGATTAGTAATCCATTATTAATTAATACTTAGGTTACGTTTATGTTTATAATTTTACTTTAACTGTGTAATCCTGTATTGGTCTTAGTATTGTTTAGTTATACTTTATTATGTCATTATTATAATCACTGTTGGATTACCGAAATAAATAAATATTTTTCAAGTTCAAAGCAATTTTTTCACGTTTTCATAGATCTTTTTGATATAATGTTTATTATAAGACAGACATAATGTATCGGTTGTATGTAATAGAAATAATAGGTAAAGAAATTTCAATTTAAAGCAGTTTCAATACTTTAGAGGTAGCAGGTTCGAATTCTTCTCGGGTGTTTGAATTTATCATTCCGTATTTTTTAATTCAATTCATTTTCTCTATATACTGAGATCGAAATTGGCAGATAAGTAATAAAGATCCAATAAAATAAGTAAAAAAAAAACTTAATTTCGCTGAATATCACTTAGTAATTTATAAGCCGGGCTTAGCTTTCACTTAGGCAAATTAAATCGTTCATTCCTTCGTGAAAGGAAGTTCAAAATGTTCAAAAGTTTTCAGAGCCCTTACATGGAATCTCTTTGATGAAACAAACTAGTGAAGTGGTCTCGATATTAAATATAACCAAATTATTAAACAAATTTATATATATTTATGAGATGTAAACTTTAAATTTTGTCTTAATAAAAATGTATTTATGCTATAAAATTGTATTTATATGAATGGTAGTTTTTAAAACAATATTAGGATATTTCGAGAAAAATATGCAACCAGCTGTCTAAAATAATTTTGAACATTAATAGCTAGTCTATATACACGGCTGACTCTCCTACTATACTTTATATTAAAATCAATCTATTTATAATTCTATTTAAATTGTAGTAAAGATTATTTTGGTTCCGAGAGTTCGAGGCGTTAATGAGAAGGGCTCTGTATCCCTTCACCTGTCAGAAGCGATACGTTAAGATACGCAGCACCCTAACATCTAAAATATTTGTTATCTGCGGTTCCTGAACTCGACGAGTTGACATTCTTGCTATAATCCATTGCCCTTAGCCGAGGGGATCTCCCCCGTGTGAGATTGTGTAATTCTTGTGTATGTTACATACTTATTACAACCATGATGAGTGATAGTCTTTATTCTTATAGTCTTTACATTATCTTTAAGAAAGTATTGAACGTTAGATTTTGAGAAACATATATGATTTATTACGAATTAGAACTAAAATATTTAGATTATTGCCCAAACGTGGGCAAAGTTAGTATGTACGAACTTGGCACGTCGGAGTCGAGCCGCCGGCGAATCTCATTAATTTTATTAGTACGCGTTGTTCGAAACTACATTAATTTAGTGTCTGCGAAACGTGTCATGTCTTTCATACGATAATATAATATTTATTACAAACCACACATCTTAAGACTTTGACTGACGTGGCTCGTTTGAGGACAGGAAGCTCATAAACCTTTGATACTAATATAATTTTTAAATTTAAAAGAAAAATATGGACAGTTATAAATTTGTACGACGCATGAAGTTACATGCTGAGAGCTTACTAAAAAAAACGATTTACGAACCTGACATTTAATTCATTATTTCATATTCTTTTCGTCTGCCGTCTTTTTAAAATATTTTCAGCAAAACCTTCACATAAAGCTAAACATTAAGTATTCAATTCATACGTGCGTAAAACGACTTGTGGCTGTTCTAAAGGCAATGTCTTTAACGAACGTTTTCAAACTAGAATTTTATTCCATTTGTCAAAAATAGCAGTCAAACGGCGAGTCAACGCAGTCACGCATCGTTGCTTTGTTACAAACTGTTGGATTTATTGAATTGGATGGCATTTTGAAACTATATTCTCACTCTAACGTGTTGATGAATCGAGATTCTATTTAAAAAACAAAAGCTTTTCAGGAACTATATATTTCAACTATGTGAAACAGCGAACAGTTGCTTATTCACTTTTTTTATTACTGATGTAAATTATTTTAAGGATATTATAAAAAAAATTGGTCTTTTAATAACCTATAATTTTTTGATAGTATTTTTTATGTACACGAAAGATTTATATACAAGTTACACACAGTACACACATTAAGAACCAAGAAAGACTTATATACAAGTCTGGGTTCATTCCGTGAAATATAATTAGAAATCCTGAAAATTTATCACATCTAAAGCTAATAGAAAACGCACTATTAAGAATATATATATAAATAAGTAAATCTGTAAATAAAGAAATTGTTAGAAAATTGTCACATTGATTGACAATCTGCCGTATTAAAATCCGCAAAAAAAGTTTCCCACAGAATAAGTAAATCTTAAATAACGTTTCCACAAGCAAAAACAGATGAAAATTCTCGAAAACAATTTATAACTGAAGACAAATTGTACCTATACTACAAACC